TATTATTTTAAATTCGACTAATACTAATTTTTATCTCCTCATCACAAGCAGGCATTACAGCATGTGTTTGTGTGTGCTGTCTGCGGCACTCAGAGCACGTGCCGATATCGTGCGCTATATCGAACATTTTTATATCGTTATCGATGAAGCTGTACCGTCGATAAATATCGATACCGTTTAATGAAATCATAGCCTTTTGAAGTTTAATCATCACATTCAGCATATCGCAATTCTGGTCTTTCCGTCCCCAATTTTAAGACCTCTTCAAATCATAATTAAGACTTTCTTGTACAATTTAAAACTTTTTTAAGACCCCACGGAAACCCTGTAAAATCTGCTCAAGCATGACTCTCTTATTAATCTGCAGAGCTGAGTCTGTGATTGAACACTGAGAGGGATTACAGATCCGGTGTGTGTTTAACAGCACATCCATCAGCTCAAGCCGCTCCCGCTGAAACACTTCACGTGTGTTACACAGCGTCCAGTCCAACTAAAACCTTACAAGCGCTCTCCATCCGCCGCTTCTGAAAGCAGACGCCAGAGAAACCTGACACACGATGTTTGAGAGCGAGGAGAGAGCGTCCAGAAAAGAAGAAGAAGAGGAGGAGAGACGGGGGAGGATTCTGCACTGGATAAACCGGGACGTGTATGTTTACACGTTACTGACACGAGAGGGAAGACTCTTCTCTTTACACATGTCAGAAACCTGCTTTGCTTGATTTGTTTAGCGCTGCGCCGGGCCAGATGTTTTCTGGGAAAGAACAAGACTGAAGTATTTCAGTAGGTGGGCTGTGTGAAGACGAGGAGATGCTCTAGTTCACAGAGGAGCCGCAGACTTTATGTTACTCTTTGTCTGTATACTAGAGTCTTTCGACCACTAAAATTACGTCAGCGATTATCTTTTAATATAACACTATTATATATATATGTATATATACTGCTGTTCAAAGGTTTGGGATCAGTAAGATTTGTTATTACTCTTTAAAGAAGTCTCTTCTGCTCACCAAAGCTGCATTTATTTGATCAGAAATACAGAAAAAAAACTGTAAAAATTGTGAAATATTATTTGAATCTAAAACAAATGTGTTCTATGTGAACATATAGTAAACTGTAATGTATTTCTTGTTCTATGTGAATCTGTGTTAAACTGTAATGTATTTCTGTGATGCGCAGCTGTATTTTCAGCATCATTCCTCCAGTCTTCAGTGTCACATGATCTTCAGAAATCAGTATAATATGCTGATTTATTATCAGAGCTGGAAACAGTTGCTGCTTAATATTGTTTTTTGGAACCTGTGATACTTTTTTCAGGATTATTCAGAAGAAATTTCAACACACTTCAGCAATAAACAAAGACACACAGATGTTTGTCTAGAGTAATGTGTGCTGATTAGTACACTTGAACTGCATCATCAGAAGCTAATAGAATGGGATTAAATACATAAAGGATATTTGTGCTGTTTAACATTTAATTATTGCAGGTTTGCGTCATATTCTGAGTTGCATTATTTTTATTCATTTTGAGGAATACTGAATCTCTGTTTTTTTTTTTTGAGTGTGTGAGTGAGATGAATTAATGCATATTCATATCTATTTTAGAACTACAGTAACATCTTCTGATTTCTCTCAACATGGCGACACCAGAGCTGTCAATCAATAAATTTGAATTAAAAAAAAAAAAAAGTAACGCGTCACTTATTTGAAAAAGTTACTCTTATATTCTCTTGTAAATTAAAAAGTAATGCGTTACTTTACTAGTTACTTGAAAAAAGTAATCTGATTACGTAACTCGCGTTACTTGTAATGCGCCCCAACACTGGTAGCATTAGTGACTGAAAGCATTTGCTGTAGTGTGATTGTGCATCTACAGAAACACTGACACTAAACAGCGCTCGCTGGATGACCGCTAAAGCTCTTCACTCCTCCCTTAAGAACGGGTGGATTAGCGAGTACTGACACCAGCGGGGGTGACCTCATGACCCCGTGACCCCTCCCGGCTCGTGCCTTCAAAGGGCCAGAGATCACGGTCACAGCTGGTGTTTGCTGTGTTTACCTGCTGTCGCTGCTGAGCCAGTTGATCCTCGAGCTGCCTGACCTTTGACCTCTCCAGCTCCACCTGGTGAGCGCAGTCCTCGCGCAGACGCCGGCCGCTGTCTTGCAGCTCCCGCATGCTGAACTCGTGCTCGGAGCGGAGCTCTCGCTGCAGCCGCTGCGTCTAAACGAGCGGCAGACGAACGCCTCAGAAACACACGATCACACGACACGCTCTCTGAAGATCATTTAGACTCACCTCCATCTCAGCGTGAGCCAGAGCTTTCTCTCGCTTCTCCAGATCAGACAGAGTCTTCTGCAGCTGCTCCTCCAGGAGACTATACTCCATCTCCTGAAAACGCAAACACAAAAAATTAATATTTCATGAAAAATTATTATAATTAGCAAGTGTCCATCTCATAATCCAAATCACTGAAATCAGAGTTCAGTATTATAGTGTAAGAATGACAACATATCCACGTGTTATGAGCAAAACAATATTGTTTTCTGTTAGTAATAAGTTTATTTTGCTCACCCCTTCTCGCAGATTATTTAGCTTGTTCTAAGCAAAATCTCACTTAATTTTGACTCGTTTTTCTGAAAACGAGACAATAATAATTTTTACTTGTCTAGAAAAGCCTTCTCGATTTAAGAATTTTCAGAAATCTGGGCTGGAGACCTGTCACTTGTTTTGTTTTTTACTCCTAATGCGATCTTTAAATGCAATGTTTACATAAATTTGAAGGCTACATGCTAATGTTTTATTATGTTATTTTTCAACCTTGCCTTTACTGTCTGAAACCAAACAGTGTTCCACTGAAGGAGGACTGATATGAGTCTGACCTTCTTCTTGATGAGCGCCTCCCGCTGGTGATCTCTCTTCCTCCACTCCTCCGCAAGCGCCTGCATGTGACTCAACTCCTTCTGCTTCAGCTGAGGACAAAACAAACACAACTTAACTTAAACGAACATAAAACGACGGCTCTCCGGTCCTCGCGTTGAGTGAGTGCAGATGCGTTGTGTGTGAACATGATCTTACTGTAGATCTAGACTCAATGTGAACATGCATTTCTCATCTCACTCGCACAGAAACAGATTCAGCGTTCCTCAAAATGAAGGAAAACAGTGAAACCCGCAATAATTGAAAATGATAAACAACACAAATATATTTAATCCCATTTTATTAATCAGTGTCTTTGCTGCTGACCTTCAATGATCCAATTCAATATTTTTTAGGATACACTTAATATCCTAATGATTTTTGGCATATTAAAAAAAACATTGACCCATACAATGTATTGTTGGCTATTGCTACAAATATACCTGTGCTGCTTAACACTGCTTTTGTGCTGCAGGGTCACATATGACTTTAGATAAACATTGCATTTGTATTTACTTTTTTTGTGAACTTTCTTCCCTTGTGTCCTATTCTTCATGTAATCCAGAATAACATCACAGGTAAAGGGATTGTTTGATCTACTGTACAGACGTGAATCTACATTTCCTTCAGCCTGACGCTCATTCATTTCACTTTTGGTGTGAAAGCGATTTTATACATTTGCCAAAAATATAACTTTTTTATATTATAAACAAAACAAGCAAGCCCAGCCCAGATGAGGAAAAAGTAACGCAAAAGTAACAAAACGCATTACTTTCCATAAAAAGTAACTGACACAATTAGTTACTTTTTTTATGGAGAAATGCAACATTGTAACGCATTACTTTTAAAAGTAACTTTCCCCAGCACTGCTTATATTTCATCAACTGAAATAATGTTAATATATAACAAATGACTAAAATCTGTTTTACCTTTATAACATACACGTAAATATTAAAATATGTAGAAGGTGCACACATTGTCAAACACAAATACAAAACACCATAATGGTAACAAAATAATGCAACAAACATTCATTTAACAACATAAAACATAACTGTTAAAACTAAGAAGAAACTGTTATTTTAATGAAAAACCATAAAATGTGAGGTGTCACATGCACTGGGAATTCTGGCAATGTCAAATTAAAGGTTTTTTTTAAATACTGTTTTATAAATAAACAGTATTTTATTACAGTTTTCCACTGTATACAGTATGGGAGCTTACAATTAACCAATTAACAGTCTTTTACCATTAAAATTGCAATCATTTTGACAGTGCATGAGCTCAACACCGTCCGTTTTGAGCTGTTTTTCTAACGCTGTTTTTGGGCGAGGATGAAGCTTTGCATTGTGACGGTTAGAGTTTCTTCATAACACCTCAAACTCTCATTATTAATTTTAAAAACAGCAGTTGAAATTGTGTTTTCCCTCTGAGATGTGCAGAGCCGCACCTGATTATCGAACAGATCCTCCTGCATCTCCTTCCACATCTCCAGCTCCAGCGCTGCCTTGTACTCCGGGGTCTCTCGAGGTCGAGTGAGAGGCTCCGCCCCCCCGGGGCCCTGAGGGGGAGGAGCCAGAGCTGCCGGCGGCCCCTGAACAACAAACAACACCCGTGACCCTGCTGTTCAAGCCACATCCACCTTCAGATACAGAACGGTAATCAATCAAAGAGCCGCCGCACCTGTGACGATTCAGAGACGAGGACGTCTTGAGCTTTCACAAACCCCAGATCTTCAAGAACGCTCGCATAACAGAGTTCAGCCAACTTCTCAGACCTACAGACACACAATTCAGTTCAACCGTCAAACCGAGTCCTAAAGAAGCGCATTTCTGCAACAGGATAGCAAAGCATAAAAAGGTTCATCTTGTTTGTTCGAGCACAGAAAACAAGGTAACTGCACCTTTTGTCGAAAATTTTTTTTTTTTTTAAAACTTGAATTAATTTTTTTCCCAGAATTGCAAAAAAGGTCAGAATTGTGAGACATAAAAAAAGGTCAGACACCAAAATACAGGGATTAAAGTGTTCCGTCAGTTCATAAAGACAGTCACTTGATTCACTCCTGAATGATTCAGCCGTTCGAGCGAATCAATTGAATGAATGATTCAGTGATAAAATCAGTGACTTATCGCCACCTGCTGGCGGATTTAGTTTCATTTTTAGCCTATAATTTCAGTTATTTAAATCATGTAATATTTCTGTATTCAACATTTTATATTTAAAACATTAATCTCCACATTAATTTAATTAATGCGACCTCTGAGCCTCATTAAGCGTCTGGAAATGTACCTACAAGCCACTTTTGTGTTCTTCTGTGCCACCTCTGTTGTATAAATTAATTTATTAATACTAATTTCATTTGATTTGTAACTTATTTGTCTTATTCTACTTTTTAAGAAAAGAAAAAAACGCTAAAAATGAAACTAAATCCACCAGCAGGTGGCGACAAGTCACTGATTTTATCACTGAATCATTCATTCAATTGATTCGTTCGAACGGCTGAATCATTCAGGAATGAAGCAAGTTACAGTATTTATGAACTGACAGAACACTTTAATCCCTGCATTTGTTGTCATGTATCCTAAAAATGTGCTTGATGTGATCTAAACATTGAGAAGAAAAAAAACATCCTCAACCTAAAAACCATCATTCTGCAGCTCGTGTGGTTCAAACCTGTATGAGGTTCTTCTACGAACACAAACGAAGATATTTATATCTCAGTGTTTTTTCCATACAGTGAAAGTAAATGTGGTTCAATGCTGTCTGGTTCCCAACATTCTACAAAATATCTTCTTTTGTGTTGCGAAAAAAGAAAGAAAGGACAGAATGTTTATTTATCGGGTGAAGCATACCTTTAACCCCTTAAGTGTCGCCGGCAGGCCCACAGCCATTACATATTTTATTGCCTTTTTACTCTATCAAAAATTATAGTAATCACCCAAAATTAGATATCATTTGAAAGCTTAAAACCTCAAAATTCATCCTGTGAAAAGCATTTTGAAATCGGACATTCCCTTACTATGGAAATGGTACTTTAAAATCTTTGGGCGGTCTCCTCCCATTAGTGGGAGGAGTCGTATTACAAAATGTATTACGGTATTTTACAATCAAAACTTTTTATAATCTTGACAAAATACATATCGTTGGAAAGGTCTGAGTCTCAAGAGTCCATATTTGGTGGTTAGAAGTAACATTGACAGAGAAATTCAGACATTTGTGACGAAAAATGCATAAACAAAACTTTCTGGGTGTCACCCGGTGGCTGTTTGTGGTATAACGCCTAAATAATTTTTTTTTACATCAACTTCAAATTTGGGACATAACTTATTTAGACCTAAGGATTTAATTTTATAGCAATTTTACAGTAAAATTTTTTATGAAAAGTATTTATTTTATATAAAATAATAATACAAATTATACAGTGCATTTTCTTTACAGTCAATAAACTTCTATAACTTTTTGATACCTTCATATTTTGAAATGACACTTAAGGGGTTAAACAACATTTTTTGGTTAATAACATCCTTGTTCTGGAAAAATGTTATATACATAAATCCAAGTATCTGAATGTGAAACCTAGGTTGTGTGTATTTCACAATGAGTTTCATTCTTATACAAATGGCCTTAAGATGATGAAAACTATTAATGCAATAAACCTTTTTGCCATAATTGAAGAATGTAACAAAAAAAAAACCTAGCCTTTTAATTGTATTCTTATTTTTCTTTAAAAAATTTCCTTCTATCAATTTATTTGTATTTTATCTATTTTCTATTCTGTTTATTTCTTTTTGCACCTGATTCTACTGTTCTAACGCAAACATATATTATTGTTGCCATGTTGTTTGTACACAATATATACTGTGCAATAACTTTGAGCATTGTGTGTTTTGAGTTTTGTGTGCTGCAGGTACAATGTCCTGCTGGGATTGAACCGAATATGATCCAGCAACTAAACGCAGCCCTGCACTCGTCACGCTTGCATCTACACCGCAGCATTAGCCTTTCATCTCTAACTCTGCACGAACCCGTCTGCTTTCATGATGGGGATCCTCTCAGAACAGCTCTGTCTCCAGTGCTGATGACCGGATGGGTCGAGGAAGCGTGTTTTCTCGGAGCCGAGGAGACGGGAAAGCTGAATGCTGACCGAACCCAGCAGAACATCTGGAGAGCTGGGCTCTCTGTGCCACATCTCCACCATCAGAGGAACCCTGAACACACAACAAACAAACCACAAACTTAAGACGCCACAAAGCTCATTTGTGACCCTGGACCACAAAACCAGTCATAAGGGTCAATTTTGTGAAATTGAGATTTATGCATCATATGAAAGCTGAATAAATAAGCTTCCATTGATGTATGGTTTGTTAGGATCGGACAATATTTGAAAATCTGGAATCTGAGGGTGCAAAAAAATCTAAATATTGAGAAAATCATCTTTAAAGTTGTCCAAATGAAGTTCTTAGCAATGCATATTACTAATCAAACATTAAGTTTTGATATATTTACGCTAGGAGATTTACAAAATATCTTCATGGAACATGATCTTTACTTAATATCCTAATGATTTTTGGCATAAAAGAGAAATGTATAATTGTGACCCATACAATGTATTGTTGGCTATTGCTACAAATATCCCCCAGCGACTTAACACTGCTTTTGTGCTGCAGGGACACATTTAACATACACTGTGCTTTCAGTTCATTTCCAGACTGAGATTAACCCCGTGAAGCCTGACATATTAAATCATAATCAGAAAAATCAAATTTTTTAAAATGGAACTATTTATTGAACCTTTAGACAATTTTTTTGTTGTTGTTGAGTATCATTTGATGCATCAGGCTTTTATTAGGGCTGGGGGAAAAATATCGATATCTCGATATTAATCGATTCTCATTTTTACGGAACGATATCGATTCTTCAATCCCAATTGATTAGTCTAGCTTGTTTTCAGTTAATGGACGGAACTTTGAAGCGCACTTCCCATCCAATATATTGCAATAAGCATTGTGCTTTTAATATGAAACAAAGTCTCAGATTCCAAATTCTGTCCATTGTATTGCAGTATTCAAACAATAAATGCAGTTTTGGCTCTGTTTAATGTGGATTGACACATCGCTGTAGCGCCTCAGTGAACTGATCATCTCCTCCGCTTTATTACTAGTTATAGCACAAAATAAACATGACTAAACATCCGAAGGTAAGTTAAAAGAAAGAGTACAACTTTACAATCCGTATCCTGTCTCATGTAATCACTCAATCCGTGTTTCAGCAGCGCAAATACGTCAATATAACGGCTTGTAAACAATGCCACATCACATTTACCTCAGAAAAACATATTTGGTGACCATAAACTCATATATATGTAGAGAGGGGCATGTTGCTAAATATATGCACCATATAACATTCATTATATTTTTTACTGTTCTTCAATGTTTATGTTTTAATAAATCCATCAAGTTATTATGACAGCCACCATTTAAATGTTTATATTTCAAAAAAACGAATTGAAGTAGAAATATTATTATGTAACTGTAACTTTATTATTGCAAAAACTTTGTTAATTTTAACCGTCAATATTATAGTAATGTAGTACCAGCTGACTCATGTATATTTTACAGCATTAGTTGAGGGATTTTTTTTTCCTTGAGAAAATTTGGCATGTACTGTACCCGATATATATCCCCCCAAAAAATCAATATTGAATCGAATCGAATTGGTAATCGAATCGCAAGCTTGTGAATGATAATCGAATCGAATCATGAAATTTGTGTCAAAACCCAGCCCTAGATTTTATGGCTTGATACAGTGAGAATATGGAGGAAAAACGACTCAAACTGAGCAAAACTATGTATTTGGTGCAGATGTTGATAATTCTGATGCTTGTGCTGTAAATCAATGAGCTCTTTATAACAGTGCAGCAGATACTGACATGCTATAAATATCAGCGGTCGCTCTATATCTCCTGTAACATGTCTCAGTGAGATGAGATTGAAATGCTCCAAACATATAATGCAGTGATTGAGAGCTGAAGAAATAAAGGCTCCTCAGAAGATGTGAGATGTTCTGGAGGCTTGTGAAGATCATTCCTCCGCTGAGGAACAGTGAAAGTAAAGCTTCTGGAAACAAACGCTCCTCAAAAGATCCTGAGGATCAGATTTGAGACTCTAAAACATGATTGATGGAGAATCAAGTAAAGCTGAGCTGCTTCAGTCCAGTAAGTGTTCATCTGGAGATATTACTGCAGTTGATCAAAATCAGTCAAGATTTGACACGTGAAGCTCGAGCTGAAGCTGGACGCTTGTACAGTTACACTAAAAGAGTCTAAATTATCAATCAGAGACAGAAGACATGCATTAGATTGTGTGCGACATCATTTAGAGACTTTCACATATCAAAAATGATCCAGTAGCTTTAATACAGGGATTAAAGTGTTCCGTCAGTTCATAAAGACAGTCACTTGATTCACTCCTGAATGATTCAGCTGTTCGAACGAATCAATTGAATGAATGATTCAGTGATAAAATCAGTGATTTATCGCCACCTGCTGGCGGATTTAGTTTAATTTTTAGCCTATAATTTCAGTTATTTAAATCATGTAATATTTCTGTATTCAACATTTTATATTTAAAACATTAATCTCCACATTAATTTAATTAATGCGACCTCTGAGCCTCATTAAGCGTCTGGAAATGTACCTACAAGCCACTTTTGTGTTCTTCTGTGCCACCTCTGTTGTATAAATTAATTTATTAATACTAATTTCATATGATTGGTAACTTGGTTGTCTTATTCTACTTATTATTATATTGTTTTAAATAGAAATGTAAACATACATTTTTGAATTTGACAGATGAAAATGATGCCATTATAAAGGTAAAAAGAAAGTAAGTAAGTCACTTTAAGGAGTCAAATGTCACCTTGTATAAGGAAGGCTAATTTTAAGACGAGTTACTTATTTTATCACTGAATCATTCATTCAATTGATTCGTTCGAATGGCTGAATCATCCAGGAATGAAGCAAGTGACTGTCTTTATGAACTGAGGGAAATCCGTAGTTTAATCCCTGTTTAATAGGGTTAAAGGTCTGATCTCACCTGAGGAAAGTGTCCTGAAGCTGATTGGGTAAAGCGGCAAAATCAAAAGCGCAGTACGACTGCGGCAGAAACACCTCCGTGTTCTTCTTCACCTCCACCGCTGGACTCGTCAGGATGGGAGCCGCGCTGCCGAAGAACTGGTAAGCGTATCTGGGGAAAGATACACGTTAGGACACGAGCAGGAACATGCTAAAGCTGCGTGTCGAAGCTCAGGCTGCGAGCGTGAGTCACCATTGAGGTACTCCATACTGCACTTGTGATCGATATGATCAATTTGAAAAACTAACGGAATGCATAATTTCTAAAAAATAAAATAATAAAGGACAATAGTTATTAAATGCACCATATCTAAACATTTGTACCATTACAAATCAACCGTTTTTTTGGAGGTCATAAATGCTATTTTTGGTCTGGGGAGGAAGTTTTGATTTCACAGTCCGACTTATTTAACTCTTTCCCCACCATTGACGAGTTATCTTGTATTTTACAAGAAAACGCTTCCCCGACAAAGATGAGTTTTTACGGCTTTCCGTGTTTTCACTGTTATACACTCGGAGGCGCTATTACACATCTTCTGAACGAGTACAAAACCTCCCGAACAAAAACACACGTGAACAGGACGGAGAAACCAGCGATCTATGTAAACAGATGCATATGAAAAATAATGCGATCATCAGCAATAGACAGCATATAAATGAAAACGGCATGTTACAGAGTAAAATGTTGATCCAGGACGTGTTGTCTGTGCAAGCTTTGGAGGTGTTGATGGAGCAATTTACTAGATTTATGCTTTGATAATCGTACTGAATATTATCCAGGTGTAGTTTTTGATCAAAATGTGATTATCTCACCTTTTTACTCAAAATTATGCTTTTCTATGAAACGTACCTACATTCAAGTGTTTATAAAAAAACAATGCTTAAAGCTAGAATAAAACTGTTTAGAATAAAAAAAATGTTTAGTTTAAAAGTAGAGGCTCTGATCTTTATTTTGGTGTATTGCATATTCAAATATTCATACAGCAAATTATACTGGAGGCCATACAATTTGAGTGAAAATCATCAAAATCGCTGGCGGTGGCTGGCAACTTTTTCAAAAATGCTGGCGGGGAAAGAGTTAATTATTAAATAAAACCATAAAAACATTTTCATTAATTGGAAAAAATTCTTATAAACTTTAACTGAAATAAAATATATTTAAACAAGCTAGTTCCCAAGGGAACATTTCTCATTTTCGTTAAGTTTAACTAAGTGTACTGAAAGAAAAATGTATAAAAACTATACAGACATATGTAAAAAATTATTAAAATAACAAAAACACACAATAAAATGACTAAATCTGTAACTAAAATTAAAATGAAAACAGAAAATATAAAAATAAAACCAAATTAATAACACTGCTCATAATAAATCAAACTCTTATAAGATTAAGAAAAATCCTGCTTCATGAACATTTGTTTCAAAAGTGCAAGAAAATGTCAAAGCAAAAAGCCTCAAATATCACATATGAATATGATCAATGCTATTTTAGGATCATTGAGATACTATTATAGTTTTCATAAATATTTTAAATTCATTTTTATACGGCTGTAATTTTATTTCTAGTTAAAATTTGTATTATAATTTAATTTTTTGAATTAGCTTTTATTGTAATAAGAAAACATTTTGATTAATTTTTAATTATTATTTTTGTCATTTTTATTTATTTTATATTACTATTTAGGTTTAAATTTAGTTTTTGTTTATTTATTTCCAGTTAGCTTTTTTTTTTTACCAATATATTTATCAACTTTTCACAAAATATGAATTACACATCAATAAAAAAAACATTAATTCAGAAAAACAATTTTAGAGAGAGAGAAAAATAAATACATTAATAATAATAAATAAAAAATATCCCATTTCAGCATATCAAAATACATTAATTCAGAAAAACATTTCAAGACAGAGAAAAAATTTAATAAATTAATAAATACCAAACACCTCAGAAACTACAAGATCTTTATTAGTTGTTTTTATATGTCTATATAGTTAACTTTATTTAAAAAAAAAAAGTTTTAGTTATTTTAGTACGCCAAGTTAAACTAAATGAAAATAAGAAATGTTGAGACGTGTATTTTTACTTCAGTGAAAGTTGATTTTATTTCCAGTAACAGTTGTTTAACCGTGCATGTGATCGGACCTGATTGTTGATATCTTCGGCTCTCAGTGTCACAGACACGCTCACAGTCGGCTGCAGGTCCGGCGGGACACACCGCAGGCTGGGCTTCACTCGGTTCAGGGGCTGCAGGATGAAAGCGCCCTCTATAATAGCGGGACGTTTAGTCAGATCAGCGCTGCTCGTCATTAACCCGGCTAGACTGACGTCACTGCTGCCGAGAGACTGCTTTCCACAGCAGAGATGGAGCTGTGTGCAAAACACATACTGAACATGCATCACTGTTACTAAAGACTAGGGCATGCTCATTTGGTGCGATTAATTATGGAAAAAGTAACATGTTAAAATGATTAATGCATTTAATGTGGCGCCCTGTCCAGACCTGTGCATCATCTCACACTGAGGAGTCTATTAGAATGCAGTGATATGAGCCTAAAACTCAAGATACGAGTGCACAAAATAAATCAGCCTCTTATGTTTATATCATATGTGTCCCTGCAGCACAAAAGCAGTGTTAAGTCGCTGGGGGATATTTGTAGCAATAGCCAACAATACATTGTATGGGTCACAATTATACATTTCTCTTTTATGCCAAAAATCATTAGGATATTAAGTAAAGATCATGTTCCATGAAGATATTTAGTACATTTCCTACCGTAAATATATCAAAACTTAATGTTTGATTAGTAATATGCATTGCTAAGAACTTCATTTGAACAACTTTAAAGATGATTTTCTCAGTATTTAGATTTTTTTGCACCCTCAGATTCCAGATTTTCAAATATTGTCCTCTCCTAACAAACCATACATCAATGGAGAGCGTATTTATTCAGCTTTCGGATGATGCTTAAATCTCAATTTCACAAAGTTTACCCTTATGACTGGTTTTGTGCTCCAGGGTCACATACGATACAGTTTAGCAATATCACACCCGCAAGAGTGCTGCTTCTCCCCAATATCTCCACCACTGCAAATGTGATAGTGGTTTATACAAAAAATATATATTTTAGACATAATATTGTCAGCTTTGCTCAGTTTCACAAATGAAAATAGCCCACAGCAGAACTGTTGAGCGTCTCTGATCAACACAGAGCAGTGATTCGTTACTGAACGAGTCAGTGTTTTTGAATGAATCGAGTGAGTCAATGATTCAGTGACTCATAAATAGTCACTTGCTTCGTTTCGGAACGAATCAGCTGTTTGAACGAAACGGCTGAGCGAACGATTCAATGACTCACTAATTAATGACTCGCCGCCACCTACTGGCACTTTCATATTTAGAATATCATTCCATTTTTAAAAACCATATTTAAATATATTACTTCTATAATTATATATATGCAATGTAGAATCAAAAATGTCTTACAAAAATAACTTTAAATGAGCTTTTTGGGGGGGTGGGGTGGGGGGGGTAATTTCTCAGCCAATACTGATGTGCGATTATCCAGATGAACTATCTATAACAAGCACATCATGCAATTAATCAGATTAAAATTGTAATCACAGCCCTACCAAAGAGACAGAAAACGAGCAGTGTGATAAATCTGTGCAGATGTCAGAGATCCGTGCTGACCTGCAGACAGGGCTGCTGTGCGAGGAAGAGCCGCAGGACTCGCTCGCTGCTGCGGATGCGGACGGACGCTCGCTCGGGCTCGAAGTTCGGACTGAGGAGGTTCTGGAAAGGTTCGCTGGTGACGTCGTTCCCCAACAGAGTGTAATAGAAGAAGAACTCTGCGCCCTCGCTGGACAGCTTAGTCGAGCTGGAGATCAACTGAAGATCAGGAAGATGTGTTGTTTAGTCACTGCGCACTGAATATGTACGGGCTGGACAATAATCCAATATTAATATGTAGCGTGATATCAACCGCTAGTTCTACCGCTCTCAAAGCGCCTCCTGCTGGCAGAGAATCAGTTTGCATTTTCAATAATAAAAGTTTTTTAACAGAAAGATGTTCTAATTCAGATAAATAGAGTTCATATCGATATCGGAATTTATATCGCATCGACGGAAATTAAGAAATATACCGTGATACACATTTTGTCCGTATCGTCCAGCCCTACCACAGACATACGACAGCAGCTCTGTTCACCTGCTCCAGTTTAGCCGCAAACGCAACCGTCACCGACAGCACAAACATGTCGGCGCAGACATCTTCAGGTCCGATCTGATGAAAGCCTTCTTCCTCGTTCAGAACCGGCCTGAGCTCACCAGAGTCCAGAGGAACCAGCGCCGGAGAGCCTGTAGAGTTCACAGTGACTTCATTAACAAAATGATGATTAGAGTTAACATGAACCACACTCACGACTCGTTTAGGGTTCATTATATTACTATTTAGGTTTAAATTTATTTCAAATTCATTTTTGTTTTCTAGTTAGCATTTTTTTTTTACCAATATTTTTTATCAACTTTTCACAAAATATGAAATACACACCAATAAAATAAAAAAAAATCAGAATTTTTTAAAATTTATTTTTAGAATTAGGTTTTATTGTAATAAGAAAATATTTAGATTAATTTTTAGTCATTATTTTTGTCATTTTTATTTATATTACTATTTATGTTTACATTTATTTTTAACTCAGTTTTTGCTTTTATTTATTTCCAGTTGGCTTTTTTTTAACAATATATTTATCAACTTTTCATAAAATATGAATTACACACCAATAAAAAAAAAAATCTGAATTTTTAATTTATTTTTAGAATGAGGTTTTATTGTAATATCTTATTATACAATTATTAACAATTATTATACCTATTATAAATATTTAGATTACTTTTTTGTAATTATTTTTGTCATTTTTATTTATTTTATATTACTATTTAGGTTTAAATTTATTTCAAATACATTTTTTTTACTAGTTAGTATTTTTTTTACCAAAATTTTTATCAACTTTTCACAAAATATGAATTACACACCAATAAAAATAAAAAAAAATTGTTTATTTATTTTTAGAATTAGCTTTTATTGTAATAAGAAAACATTTAGATTCCTTTTTAGTAATTATTTTTGTCATTTGTATTTATTTTATATTACTATTTATGTTTAAATTTATTTCTAATTCAGTTTTTGTTTTTATTTATTTCCAGTTAGCTTTTTTTTTAATCAATATATTAATCAACTTTTCACAAAATATGAATTACACATCAATTAAAAAAAAAAAACAATTTAAGAGAGAGAAAAATAAATAAATAACTAAAAACATCTAAAAAAAAAAAAAAAAGATCCCATTTCAGCATACCTTAAATCAGAAAAACATTTAAAAAATCATAATAAATTAATAAATACCAAAAACCTCAGAAACTACAAAATCCCATTTCAGCAATGGTCCAACTTAAAAAGGGAACTTTTTTTCATTCATTTAATATTTCAATTAACAAACATGTTTTAATTATTTTAGTTAAGTTGTTTTAGTGGAGACAGTTATTACATTTTGGTGAAAGATTACAAAAACAATAATTTTAGAAACTTTTTATTATTTGGAATAAATGAATCGAAGATACTAATAACCAGCATCAAGTACATTTTTGATTTCATGTTGATTTTAATATCGACGCCTGACAGAACCGAACCAGCACTGAGACAAACATGCATGTAGAAGCTTTGAAGCGCATCGACAGAAGCAGAGAGAACGGGAGGAAAACAACGGCACACAGAGATCAGAGGTGTGCATCAGCGTAAGAAAGAGCGTCAGGTACCTGGCCTCGGTGGAGCTTTCTTTGCCTTGAACTGCTCAGCTGTTGGTTTGGTGTCGTTCTCTAAGATCACGCTGATCAGAAGAGCAGGTTTCAGTTTCGTGTACTTGCTACTGAGCAAAGGATGCCATTTAGGAGCCTGAAGAACACACAGAAGATTTCAGAAAAGTCGGCTAATGAGACTCAGCCTTCAGTGACACGCACACAACCAGTCGAACGTTTGGAATAAGTACGATTCTTAATGCTTTTGAAAGAAGTCTTTACTGCTCACCATTTATTTGATCACAAATACACTAAAAATAGAGAAATATTTTTACTGTTTAAAACAGCTGTTTTCTCTGTGAATATGTGTTAAACTGTGCTGTATTTCTGTGATGCGCAGCTGTATTTTCAGCATCATTCCTCCAGTCTTCAGTGTCACATGATCTTCAGAAATCATTATAATATGCTGATCTGCTGCTCCAGAAACATTTCAACATTGATAATAATCAGAAAACAGTCGTGCCGCGGAATATTTCTGTGGAAACTGTGATACGTTTCCATTCAAAAGTGTGGAGCAAGTTAGATTAAAAATAAAAATTAATACTTTTATTCATCAAGGATGCATTAAATTGATCAAAAGTGACAGTAAAGACGTTTATAATGTTGCAGAATATTTCTATTTCAAATAAATGCTGTTCTTTTGAACTTTCTGTTCATCTGTGAATCCTGAAAAATAAAATGCACGACAGTTTCCACAAAAATATTGTGCAGCACGACTGTTTTCAACATTGATAATAATCAGAAATGTTTCTTGAGCAGCA